GGACCTGGGCTTTTTTAGCTTGGAGAAGAGAAGGCTCTGGGGTGACCTCATTGCAGCCTTCCAGTACTTGAAGGGAGCCTATAAACAGGAGGGGGAGCAACTGTTTACATGTGTTGATAGTGACAGGATGAGGGGGAACGGTTTTAAACTAAGAGGGGAGATTTAGGTTAGATATGAGAAGAAAATTCTTCACTCAGAGGATGGTGAGGCACTGGCCCAGGTTGCCCAGAGAGGCTGTGGATGCCCCATCCCTGCAGGGGTTCAAGGCCAGCCTGGATGGGGCCCTGGGCAGCCTGCTCTAGTGGCTGGCAACCCTGCCCACAGCAGGGGGGTTGAAACTAGATGATCTTTAAGGTCCTTTTCAACCCAGCCCATGCTATGATTCTATTATATGAATTGAAGTTAACATGGGTTTTATGCATTTGTCCTCCAACACCCATTATAAATAGCTACTTTTTTTTTTTATCAGAATTTTTTTTTTTTTTTTTTTTTTTGCCTGGGCAAAGGTAGTATAAGCACTATTCAACAGGGGAAAAATTAGTTTTGATAAAGTTGTAATTTCAAGAAAAAAAATGGCTCATAAAGAGCTGCTCAAATGTGTAAATATTAACTACATAAAAGTCACTTCAGATTTTCAAAGCAAACTATTTGCTAATATATACATTAAAATTTTACTTTCATAGTAAATTATACAAAACACTAAGTAGTATACTTACCCACCCAAAAAGCAGAGGATATAAAATGCAAAGTAAAATATAGCGAAGGGTCCAAAAGTTACTAGAAAAAGCACAACACCAAGACTTCCCCATCCCCATATGGAAAGACTGGTCTGTAAACAAAAACATAGGGAAAAGGAACAATTAATATTATATTCGTACAACTTTAGGTCTCCAAAGCAATATTTGTAGTTTCGACATACATTTTAAGTAGATAAGAAATAATTTTCCTTGATGAAATAAAAATTATCTTTATTTTTTAAAAGCATGTTGCTATTAAGTGATATTGCGAGCTAGTTGTCCAATTTAGCCATTAAAAAAATAAAGTGATATTGCAAGCTAGTTGTCCAATTTAGCCAACATTAAAGCATTTTTCTTTCAAATAACGTTACTCAACTCTCACTTCAGATGCAACTATTGATATTGCGAGCTAGTTGTCCAATTTAGCCATTAAAGCATTTTTCTTTCAAATAACATTACTCAACTCTCACTTCAGATGCAACTATCACCCTTTAAAGGGTCTTCTCTTTTTCTTCTCTATTCTCATCTTGCACACTCCAGTTTATTGAGATCCCTTCCCCCCACCCTGTGAAATTTTCCACCACTTTCAAGAAGAACCAAAATTTGTAACAGAACAGTGAGACATGAATACAATCTTGTTTTACACTACTAAACCTGTCATCTGCCACAGCCAAGCAATGCTATTTCTTCCCTAGATGAAAGCAGTTTCAAGACCACACAAGTGTCCCTTTCTCCAGTCAAGTCACACACGAGTCAGCAGGTGCACCAAATATTTGGTGCAAGTTTACTTTTACTCTTCCCTTTAAATAAAAGGGAGGGAAACTTAAGAAACTGATTACTGCCTCTAACAATTTTTACCATAGAAATCAAGAGCATTCAAACAGTTCTTTGAAATATGTAAATACGATTCAGTTTTGAAATCAGAAAATTTTCTATATTAAGAAAAAAAATTAAAAGAGAGATCCCAGATTAGCATTTTCTCCATGCAGGCATTACCATGTTCCTAGAAGAGAACTGGCTCAGCAGGCAGAACTGATACTTCAGCAGCAGGGGGGAGAGAAGGGTTGTTTGGAAAGCACATGGCGCATCTAAAGTCAGCCACAAGACCATCTGTGGGGCTGGTGGGATTTGGGGGCTGAGGTCCCACATAACGCAGCAAGCAAAACTTCACCTGCGCTGGCGGATTCACCAGGAGTATGAAAGAAACAGCAAGATTCCGGTTATTGTGCCGATATAGATCACAGTATATGTGCATTGATATACACACACACTTGATCTATCTATATAGACAGATGTGTGCATGTACATATTATGCAGGGCAATCTAAAAAGCAAGGTAGCGAAAACCTGATTGAACTGAGCTACAATAGTTTTGGACCTTCACAATGCTGCATTGCAGTCAACAAAGATTATATAAATTTAATTAAATCTAGTCTCTAGTTCAATATGGAAAGCATGTTTCAGCCAATTTCCGAGAGTGTGAAACCGATGATGACAAGTATAGGCCACCAAAACTGTTCCAGCTTTAAGGTTCTCAACTTTTCTTTTTTTGTTGTCTAATTTACACCTTTTGTACCAAATTACACCCTGATGGGAAGTCAGACAACTGCTATGTCAACAAGTAACACTAAGAAAGTATTTAAATAAACTCGTCTTGCAGTTTGACATTTAGAAAACAAGCAGAGATCAAACACCATATTTGCAGAGAGCCCTTTTTTAGTTTTTAATATGGAGGACAAGGGAAGCTTGCCTACAGCTCTTAATTCTCTAAAGGGACTACTTATATTTCATCTTTCCATCTTATTCCATCTGAATCTTAGGGATTCAGAAAAACCAACTTTCTGACAAAAAAAAAATTAAAAATCCTATAAGCAATGACAAATAATATGAAATAAAGCTCCTACATAAAGCAGCTTTGGTTCTTTTTTGAGAGCAAGACATCAGACTACCCAAAAGCGAAATTATAGCTCTAAAGAGAGATTGTTTCATAGACATAAATCATAATCATCAAAATAATTTAATTCTTCCTACTTTATTGTGAATTTAAGGGAACATAGAGATTAAATTTTATTTTCTTCCTAGTTAAAGTTTCTTAGCAAGACAGGGAGAAGCTATATTGGCTTTTTTCTTGCTGTTTGAGGCTGGAAAAAAATGACACTTGTCCACATACTCATGTGTTTTATTAAAAGTGCTGCTATTCAAAAACTAGATTGCAAGCGATTCAATTTTTTTATGCTGAAAAAGTGCTTTATTAGATGATATAAACCACACAATCCACACAGCTAAAATGCTGAAGGTTGGTGCTACAATAAATTAAAAAAAAAAAAAAAATCTTGGCCACAGCCGAGTAGGAGATTTTGTTGACTCATCATAAGTAAATGCAGTAGATAAGCTGCCTGAGGGGGGTGGGGAGAAGGGAGAGACAAGGAAAGGGACACCAGTCTAAAAAAACCTGGCAAATACAACAACTAACTACAAAAAGACATGAGGTCTCATTATAAATCTACATTTCAATACACAAAGAAGACTCCTTTTATTTATGCCCTCAGGAATACATTTTAAAACTTCTGCAGAGTACCACATGCAACAGGAAGGTAGGCACACATAAGATAACATTTAATCACTGTCTTTTTGACAAAAAAAAACAGTATGCTTAGTGGTTTTCAAAAAAGTTTAAGTTCTAAACATAGGATAAGCACTCTGAATTACTTAGTAAAACTTAATTAAACTAGATAGCAGGACGATATTCAGAGCTGGATGAATGCATAATTAACAAAGAACGTTCTATAACTCTAATAGATACAACAGTGACCTTTTGTCCTATGCTCTAGTTTTGCAATTTAGCATATGGCTACAGAGATTCAAATCTCATTTGGTATTTTAATAGGATTTCTTAAAACTCGCACAACTTGGTACACTGCAGTAAGTACAACAGATACTGGCCCAATTCCTGTAAACTTTAGATGAGTTGTTCATGGTCTTATGGATTTCAAGACATCCAAAAGGACCTAATCATCAGCATGGTTCCCTTTAGGCTGGCTGTAAATAAAGCTTCCTGTAACTTCACACTTCTTAAAGGGACTTTAGCAGTATGACTCCCAGAAAAAACTGAAAACTGTTTAAAGTTCTTTTACCATGTCAAAATGAACTATTAAAAGAAAAAAAAATAGTCCAAATGTTACACAGATATACTACTATGCAGCTGGTCTGTACTATGGAACTAGCTCAGGTATTAAAATTCAAACCTCAGCACTCACAACTTACAAATAACTTTTGTTTATATTTTTTTAGAAGTCACAGATTTACTGAAGCTCTGCCTGGCCTTACTAAAGGTAACTGCAGGGTGAATACTTGTCACTCTTGACAGAAAGAAAAAGCCAATCTACTGAAGAGATGGTATAATGCGGACATTTAAGTCACAGCTATCCAGACCCCTTAAAAGAAGCTCACATATCCTATGGTGGGAGGGCAAACTTCCAAACTGAATGGTCATAGCAGTAGCTACTGACATCCAAGAAACAGCTACTTAAATGCTATGAGAGAATACATGCCTCAACAAGGGAGCAGGGATGTGCGGGTATATACTGTATGCATTCACACATGCACGCACGCACACATGTAAAAGATGTTTATTCCAGATCAACCACCATTCCACCTTAAAAATTTTAGCCACTTTTGCTTACCATTGCTACAGAAGCCATATGTTAGCCTCACCATCACTTCTTATCTTTCATGTCTGAACTCTTACACAGAAAGAATTCTTCAGTGTATTAGTAAGATCATATACACAAGGGGTTAATCACAGAAACATACAATGGTTTGGGTTGGAAGGGACCATAAAGACCATCTAGTTCCAACCCCCCTGCCATGGGCAGGGACACCTCCCACTAGCCCACGTTGCTCAAAGCCTCATCCAGCCTGGTCTTGAACCCCTCCAGGGATGGGGCATCCACAGCTTCTCTGGGCAACCTGTTCCAGTGCCTCACCACCCTCACAGTGAAAAATTTCTTCCTAACGTCTAGTCTAAATTTACTCTCCTTCAGCTTAAAGCCATTACCTCTCGTCCTATCACTACACTCCCCAATAAAGAGTGCTTCCCCATCTCTCCTGTAGCCCCCTTCAGGTACTGGAAGGCTGCTATTAAGTCTCCCTGGAGCCTTCTTTTCTCCAGGCTGAACAACCCCAACTCTCTCAGCCTGTCCTCATAGAGGAGGTGCTCCAGCCCTCTGACCAATTTCGGGACTCTCTCCAACAGGTCCATGCCTTTCCTGTGCATGTAGCATCATATTCACACACAGTAGTTTTCTTCCCATGGTATGGAATTGCTTTAGCAAAATAAACTGCAATTGAAGTAAAGGGCTGCTTCTAAGCCCAAATAGCGCACTGAAGATTCTCATCAGGTAGATGAGACACACCAAGGTGAATATTCTCATGAGCTTGATTCATCTGTTACAGATAACAAGACTATCACCTCTCAATGACACCTGATTTTTTTTTTTTTTTGACTAGGCTTTGATGACATCAGGCTGTGTGGTGTGGTGGACACACTGGGGGGAAGGGATGCCATCAATAGGGACTTTGACAGGCTTGAGAAGCGGGCCAATGCAAATCTCATGAGGTTCAGCAAGGCCAAGTGCAAGGTCCTCGAGGTGGGTTGGGGCTATCCCAAGCACAAATAGAGGCTGGGGAGACAACGGATAGAGACCAGCCCTTGGGGGTACTGGTTGATGAAAATCTCAACATGAGCTGGCAATGTGCACTTGCAGCCCAGAAAGCCAACTGTGTCCTGGGCTGCATCAAGAGAAGCATTAGCAGCAGGTCGAAGGAGGTGATTCTCCCCCTCTACCCCACTCTCGTGA